AGAAATACGAAGGACCATAAGAGACTACAAGCAACTATATATCAACAACCTAGAAGAAATGAACAAATTCTTAGAAAGGTACAACCTTCCAAGACTGAACCAGGAGGAAATAGAAAATATGAACAAACCAATTACAAGTACTGAAATTCAAACTGTTGATTTAAAAACTTCCAACAAACAAAAGTCCAGGATCAGATGGCTTCACAGGCAAATTCTATCAAACATTTAGAGAAGAGGTAACATTGCAGAGGAAGGAACACTCCCAAACTCATTCTATGAGGCCACTGCCACCCTGATACTGAAACCAAAGATACCACAAAAAAGGGCTTCCCTGGTGGCGCAGTGGTTGACAGTCCGCCTGCTGATGCAGGGGACACGGGTTCATGCCCTGGTCTGGGAAGATCCCACATGCCGCGGAGCGGCTGGGCCCGTGAGCCATGGCCGCTGAGCCTGCGTGTCCGGAGCCTGTGCTCTGCAACGGGAGAGGCCACAACAGTGAGAGGCCCGCATACCGCAAAGGAAAAAAAAGATACCACAAAAAAAGAAAATTACAGGCCAACATCACTGATGAACATAGATGCAAAAATCCTCAACAAAATACTAACAAACCAAATCCTAACCAAATACATTAAAAGCATCATACACCATGATCAAGTGGGATTTATCGCAGGGATGCAACGATTCTTCAATATCCACAAATCAATAAATATGATACACCACATTAACAAATCGAAGAATAAAAACCATATAATCATCTCAATAGATGCAGAGAAAGCTTTTGATAAAATTCAGCAATGATTTATGAAAAAACTCTCCAGGAAGTGGGCATAGAGGGAACTTACCTTAACATAAAAAAGGCCATATATGAAAAACCCACAGCCAACATCATTCTCCATGGTGAAAAACTGAAACAGGAACAAGACAAAGATATCCACTCTCACCACTTCTATTCAACATAGTTTTGGAAGTCCTAGACACAGCAATCAAAGAAGAAAAAGAGGGGCTTCCCTGGTGGTGCAGTGGTTGAGAGTCCGCCTGCCAATGCAGGGGACATGGGTTCGTGCCCCGGTCTGGGAAGATCCCACATGCCACGGAGCGGCTGGGCCCGTGAGCCATGGCCGCTGAGCCTGCGCGTCCGGAGTCTGTGCTCCACAATGGGAGAGGCCACAACAGTGAGAGGCCCGCATACCACAAAAAAAACAAAAACAAAAACAAAAACAAAGAAACAAAAGGAAACCAAATTGGAAAAGAAGAATAAGACTGCCACTCTTTGCAGATAACATGATACTACACATAGAAAGTCCTAATATGTTACCAGAAAACTACTAGAGCTCATCAATAAATTTGGTAAAGTTTCAGGATACAAAATTAATACACAGAAATCTTGTGCATTTGGGGTTAATATATACACCACTATATATAAAATATGTAATCAACAAGGACGTACTGTATAGCACAGGGAACTCTATTCAATATTCTGTAATAACCTATATGGGAAAAGAATTTGAAAAAGAATGGATATATGTAGGTGTATAATTGAATCACTTTCCTGTACACCTGAAACTAACACAACATTATAAATCAACTATACTGCAATATAAAATAAAAATTAAATTTAATTAAAACAAAATTTTGTTGAAAAACTGCATTTAAGTAATATGTTTAAGTATTATAAATATTTAATAAATGTGTAAATGTTAAATATATTATTTAATATATTTAAATATAATGTGGCAACTCTGTAAATCACTCTTCTCCAAGGTTTGTTGTTGCTATTTGTTGTTTGGTAACTTTTGAACTAATTCTGTAAAGTCTATATATCCTTTGTTGTGTGCAGCCACTGAAATCTCTTTTCAGTTACCTAAATAGTCATCTACAGATTGGATAAAGATTTTTAATCCTAGAATCCTATCTTGGAATCTTTTTGGGTGGGGGTTCTGTGTTTTAGGGAACCCCTTGAATGCTCAGCTAGGCATTTTACAACTCAGCTTTAGCCTCCACTGCTTGCATGCATAGAGCCTCCAGATCAGCCAGAGGTGAGAATTTAGGTGACCATCTCATATATTTCCTAAGAATGCACACAGTCTCGGGCATGCACACAGTAGTATACAGAGTCCCAGAAAGATTTTTGAGCTTTTCAAATCTCCTATGGATATCTTATTCTCTAGAATTTCCTTTTTAGCTTTTTGGTTGGCTTATTGTTTGCCCCAGCACTTATTTACCTTCTCAGGCAGCCAAAATCTTAAACAACTTCCTCTAATAGTTTTCCACAAAGCACCCTGGGGAAAAGGCTTTTTCACAAAGAGTGAGCTTCCAATCAGGTCAAATAAAGAAAGGCTTACACAAGAGGCCTTCCAAGGAACCATCAGTCAAATAATGATAGTTATCTGGGATTGGGACTTTGAAGGACCTCCAATCCTGTTCTTTACTCTCTGCCGGCTCCTGGAGCTGCTGATTTTCACCAGGATTATGGGCTGTGGTTTTCAAGGCTACTGTGGAGCTGGGTGGTGGGGCAGATGGGAAAAGGGCAAGTTAAAACACTACAAAGAACTTCCCTGGCAGTCCAGTATGTAAGACTCCATGCTCCCAATGTAGGGGGCCTGGGTTCAATCCCTGGTCAGGGAATTAGATCCCACATGCATGCTGCTACTAGAAACTTGCTGATAATATTATTGAGGATACCTTGTATATGGTAAGTTGCTTTTCTCTTGCTGCTTTCAAGATGCTTTTTTCAAGCTGAAAAGCTTTTGATAGTTTGATTATAATTTGTCCTAGCATGGGTCTCTCTACTGGCTGCTTGTATTTGGAGTTCACTGAGGTTGGATTTGTAGATCCATCTCTTTCCTCAAATTTGGGAAGTTTCCGGTCATTATTTCTTCAAATAATCTCTCTGTCTCTTTCTCACTTGTCTTTCTGAGACTCCCATAGTTGTTGGTACGCTTGAGAGTGTCCCATAAGTCCTTTAGGCCCATTTCACTTAATCTTTTTTTCCTTTTGCTCCTCAGACTCAATGATTCTAAATTGTATCTTAACGTTTGCTGATTCGTTTTTTCTGTCTGCTAAATATAAGTGATAGCCACCCCAGTTTTCTGGAACAAAAGTGGAGTAGAACATTTATCTAAGCTGTTCACCTCTTGATAGTTACTGTTGTTATTAAATGGATCTTTGACAAGAGATAGTAATCAAAGCCATAGGATAAGGCCTGAAAAAAAGCTGAGAAATGGGGAGTAACAGGGTTTCAGTGAAAAAAAGGTATTTACTAGAAATGAGGCAGGGCTCAAAGGGGGAACACCAAACGCTTTGGCTAGGAATTATCAGCTGGCCTAGGTAACCTGATCAAAATATACACAGGGCACAGGATGCATTTTGGTGAATAGTGGAGTTTCTTCATTTTTCTGAAATTTCGTGGTAATCTCTTCATATTCCTTTTCACTCTTAGTAAATTTAAATAGCTTTAAAATGCAAAAATTGCCTCCATTATATGTGAAACCCTGGTGGAAAAGGCAGTGTACATGACAAATAAGGAAAATTCTGATAAAATTTGCTATGAATTAACCTCCTACTGTGTTTCCTAAATGGCAAGAGGGATGGGGATGGAGGATGTTTGTATCCCCATGATGTAACACAGCAATTCCTATTAATATGGTATGATTTCATTATTTAGTTATAAGTGACTTATCACAAATATAAATTGTACCTGCCTCAAAGAATTATGGTGAGGCTTAAATTAGTAAATGTTGTTAACAGAATAGTACATGGCCCACAGTAAGCATTCAGTAAATATTAGCTATTATTGTTTTTATTGGGATGCACATCACTATCCTTAGCAAGTAACAATATACATTGATAGGTCAACTGAAGTTACTCTTATCTAATATTATATTAATATTGAATATCCTTTATCCATTAGGAATGAAGATTTGAAAGTGGTCTATGCATCTTTTGGGTTTGATCAGTTTGGAGCTTTTTCAGGGTGGGGGAGGGAGAACAAAATCATCTTTCTGGTAAACAACTGTCAGCTTTGGTATTCAGCTTTAGAGCTACCCTGGTAGTATGGTTTTGAGTCCTTCAGTAGCAACTGGAAGACTGGGATCTCTGGTGGTGATGTTAGAGAGAAGCCGACAATTGCTCCTTTTGGCTGCCAACATTACAAAAACAAAGCACAAGATGATCCATCAGTGGATAATCAATGTTATAATATTTTCAAGCAACTTACCAAGTGGAAACCTTACTGAAACTTCTTTGTTTTATAGGAGTTCCATGAAGAAATAAATTCTATTACAATTTCTGAGGGTCCTCTGCCTAATTTAGGAATAGGAAATACCAGGAACAATAGAAATTGGGATGTCCAGAGATCAGTACTTTCAGAGTTGGTCACATTAGGATAAATTGAGTTTAGAAAAAGGAAACTCATGCTGATATTATTATAGTTTTTAAAGACATCATTTTTCTATATTATAAAGTTTTGAATGGACTTTTAGATTCAACTTAGGCTTTTGATTTATCTTCTTTGGAAGACTCACAGTAAAATGAATCTAGTGGCTTCTAAATTAAAAAAAAAAAAATCACCCATCAAACCTAAATTTCACGTGAAGTACTTTGTCTGATATAGGAGGGAATTCTTCTGAGATGTGACATGTCTATGTATAAAAATAAAGGATTATATAAGTTCCTGTGTTGGTTAATTTTAATAATAGCACTAATAATAATAAACTGTTTTCCTTAAAATCTTATGAAAAGAACAATGACTTTTTAACTTTTTGCTAAGTAGTTATCAATTACTGATTATTAATTTGCATATTAACACAATTCCAAATTAAATATCCATATTGTACTATTTACCCAGGCTTAATTCTTGTTTTTTCTAAAAAAAGACACTGTCTTCACAAAGAAAATAATTCAAATTAACCAGCCATGCCCTACAAATGTAAATACAAGTGATACTGAATAAGTATTGATTAAAATAAAAAGCACTTTAAAAAAACAGCATTAAATCTTACCAACTCCAGAGGTTATTGATTCTGCATCAATGTCACTAGCTCTCTTTCTTGCCACTTCAGCTAGTGCCAATTCGCCCTTATCTAGTGCAAGGTAATGGATGTCCTTTGGAAATAAAGCAAGATAAAAGATTAATCCAAAATGTATCTTAGTCAAGTTACAAAGGAGATTTTGAAAGAAAGAACTTACTGTTCTTTCAAAACAGTAACAAAAATAGATTACAAAACAGACATGGCTGATGATAAAATACAAAAATTTTGTATTTTAATTTTCTCAGTTTTCTAATACAAGCAAATTTTCTTGAATTGGAAATCATAGCTATAACTAGTGGCAGTTATTTCAATAAATTAAGTCTTTAGGGAAAAAGACAAGCTTTTAAATCCAATGTTTGATGTACTTAGTTTTGTCAGGGAATAAAAACCTTAGTGGCTATTTTCTTTAATGAAATTTTACTATCTGAGATAGCTTCTTCAAAATTCAGTTGTTCATTATGATAAGCATTTTATAAGGAATACTATTGTACAAATTTGTCTCTGATATTTATGTGTCTGGCACATGTTACTTTATTAATATTATTAATACTACTATTATCTTGAACTCATTCAGTCAACAAATAATCAGTGCCTATTAAGTTGTGAAAAGAGAGATCAATTACAATACCATTTCTCAACAAGCTTTCAGCCCAGTAGGGAGAAAGACAACTGTAAACAACAGTTAGTAACATAGTGTAATAGGTTTTATGGCAGAGTTAAGAATGGTGTAGAACCAAAGAGGAGGAACTGATCCTTGATCTGCATCTTGAAGGATAAATAAGAGTTATAGTAGAAGGGAAAATGGAGAAAAGGCAACAGAAAATGAATGATATCTGGTGCACATACATAGAGAAGCTTGAGAAAACACAGTTCTATCAGGCAATGGCAGGTCTTTCAATACGGAAGGAATGTTGGTTGTGTGGGAGAATGCAGTGGAAAATAATTCTAAAGTAGACAGAGCCACTAAAAAGGACTTTGAACTCTTTTTGGTACACAGGGTGACTGTTGGAATGAGAATTTTATTGCAATAAAAATGGAAAAAGAACATGAACAACAAGTTTTCAATGATGAAATATAAATGGCCTATAATCATGAAAAGGTAGTTCACTGTCCGAATGTTCAAAGTTGAAAAAATGTAATTTCAAACTGGACAAATTTTTTAAAGTTAGTACTTACTGGTTGCAAAATTTGGGGGGAAACAGGCACTTATTACATTTACTGGGAATATAGACTTTACAGAGCAGGGGTCAGTAAACTATGGCCTATAAGCCAAATATAGCCTGCCTTTTGTACAGCCCTTGAGTAAAGAATGGTGTTTACCTAGCATAATGCCCTCCAGGTCCATTCATGTTGCTGCAAATGGCAAAATTTCACTCTTACTTATGGCTGAGTAGTATTCCATTGTGTGTGTGTGTGTGTGTTTTTTTTATGACCTTTTTTTTTTTTTTTCGGCTGCGTTGGGTCTTCGCTGCTGCGCGTGGGCTTTCTCTAGTTGCAGCGAGCAGGGGCTACTCTGCATTGCAGTGCATGGGCTTCTCATTGTGGTGGCTTCTCTTATTGCAGAGCATGGGCTCTAGATGCACGGGCTTCAGTAGTTGTGGCTCAAGGGCTCTAGAGCACAGTCTCAGTAGTTGTGGCACACGGGCTTAGTTGCTCTGCGGCATGTGGGATCTCCCCGGACCAGGGCTCGAACCCATGTCTCCTGCATTGGCAGGGAGATTCTTAACCACTGGACCACCAGGGAAGCCTGATATGTACCACAGTCTTCCTTATCCACTCATCTGTTGATGGACACTTAGGTTGCTTCCATATCTTGGCAAATGTAAATAATGTTGCTATGAACACTGGGGTGCATGTATCTCTTCGAATTAGTGCTTTTGTGTTTTTCACATATACACTCAGGCGTGGAATTGCTGGGTCATATGGTAGTTCTACTTTTAGTTTTCTGAGAAATCTCCATACTGTTTTCCACAGTGGCTGCGCCAGTCTACATTCTCACCAACAGTGTATGAAGGTTCCCTTTTTTCTACATCCTCGCCAACATTTGTCATTTATGTTCTCTTTGATGACAGCCATTCTGACAGGTGTGAGGTGATATCTCATTGTGGTTTTGATTTGCATTTCCCTGATGATTAGTGATGATGAGCATCTTTTCATGTGCCTGTTAGCCATCTGCATTTCCTCTTTGGAAAAATGTCTATTCAGTTCTGCCCATTTTGTTAACCAGGTTGTTTGTTTTTTGATGATTAGTTGTATGAACTATTTATATATTTTGGATATTGACCCCTTATCAGTCATATTGTTTGCAAGTATTTTCTCCCATTCAGTAGGTTTTTTGGTTTTGTCATTATGCTAAGTGAAATAAGTCAGACAGAGAAAGACAAGTACTGTATGATATCACTTACATGTGGAATCTAAAAAATACAACAAACTAGTGAATATAACAGAAAAGAAGCAGACTCACAGATATAAAGAGCAAACCAGTGGAGAGGGAAGAAAGGGCATTATAGGCATAAGGGATTAAGAGGTACAAATTATTAGGTATAAGTTAAGCTACAAGGGTATATTGTATAACACAGGGAATACAGCAAATATTTTGTAACTATAAATGGAGTATAACCTTTAAAAATTGTGAATTGCTATATTGTACACCTGTATATATAATACTGTACATCATCTATACTTCAATTTTAAAAGAAAATGGTGTTTACATTTTTAAATGGTTGGAAGAACTGTGCTCAACCACTCAACTCTGAATGGCTTTGGAATTACCTTATGCTGAAGACTTGAAAGTGTTTCAATCTGAAACTATTACAAGCAAAACAGTACTTACATGTGAAACTTATATTGTGATAAAGTCATTTCAGTGAGAACTAACATTGTTTGACTTGCAAGTAATAGGCTGTGTTATACACTTCCTGCACTGTCAAAAGTTAAAAAAAGAAGTGAGATCTCCATTCCTATACATATTCCCAGCAATATATTTCAGTCCACAGCAGCATTTTTCAACCTTGATACAAGTGCAAAGGTAATGTCCATATTCCAAAGTCTATTTAATGTTGCAATTAAGGAACTTTAATAGGAAGTAATTAATTTGCAATGTAGTAACATGTTAAAAGGCAGTCTAGCCTTTAGCTAATAGAATTGTAAAAATGCCTTCTGATCGGTGAATATGTGCAATTAAACCATACGCTCATGGATTGATATCAGTATTTGGAAGTACTTATCTACGAGGAAAGAAATTTGCAAAGTTGAAATACATAAAATCTCATCATAGATCAGTATTCACAGATGAACATTTGCAACAGATTTTGTTAAGGAAAACCACCTTTCAACCCTTATTAAGAGAAATGTTATCCCCCCACAAAAGAATTCCATTATTCACATCTGTAGAACTTTATTATGAAAACTGTACTCAATTAATAGATTTTTAATTTTATCAATAAAGATTTGTGGAAATTTGTTTTCTATCATACTCAATTATTACATTTAAAATTTTATCAATAAAAATCTATGGAAATTTGTTTTCTCAAGTACCTAAATAATAACCTCAATTTTTCCTTTTGGCCCACAAGCCTATAATATTTGCTGTTTGGTCCTTTATGGAAAAAGTTTGATGATTCCATATTTTAGTAATACATCAGAATTCAAATTTGCATACATATACTTTTGGAAAATCTTCTTAAGGAAATGATGTGACCAATCCTATGTCCAAGATTGGTGATGACAGCAGTACTTTTTTTTTTTTTTTTTTGGCTGCACCATGCAGCATGTGGCATCCTAGTTCCCCAACCAGGGATTGAACCCAGGCCCTCGGCAGTGAAAGCATGCAGTCGTAACCACTGGAACACCAGGGAATTCCTGACAGCAGTACTTACAACGATAAAAAATCAGAAGCAACTTAAATGGATATCAATCGAAAAAATCATGTTGATTTTCTTTTTTAATCCAAGAGTGGCATGATACTTTCATAATAGATCCTTATATTCAATGAAGAAATTAGCAGTAATTTAAAAATATATATACTCCGGTATTCAGTTTGCTAGTGTTTTATTTAATACTTTTGCATTTATGTTTTTTTTCACTGAGGTATAGTTGCTGTACAGTATTATATAAGTGCATCTGTGTTCTTAAGAAATTCTATCACTTTACTTGCACTTGACTGCTAACAAGCCCTCAACTGGTATTAAAGTTATACTAGTCTTACAAATAAACTAAGGCAGCTTTTTTTCCTATCTTCTTGTCTCTGGCAAAATTTATATGTGATTCTTCACTGAAAATAAGCAAAAGATATACAATGCATTTAAGAAGAAATTACCACCCATTACTGAGTGACGTAAATGAACACCTGATTAAAATACAGATATACACCTGCTTATGGCTGAAAAGATTATACATCATAAAGATATCAATTCTGACCCCAAATTATCTGTAAAATTCAGTGGAATTCAATCAAAATCCCTTCAATATTTTTCATGGAACTTGACAAGTTGATCTTAAAATTCATATGTGCAAGTAAATGGTCAAGAGTATCTAAGACTTATTCTAGTTAACATTAAGACTATATAATAGCACTAGTATATAGGCATATAAATCAGTGAAAAAGAAAGTTACCCATAAAAAATATCAATTTTTTTGTGAGTTACTAATGTTAGTATTTTATGTTTAACAGTGATGTAAGTGTTGGCTATAAGATCTGTGGTCCACAAATCATTTCTGGAACATACTCTCTCTCTCTCATTCTTAATTCTGTGATTTCTACTCTTAATTTTTTAACTGTTATAGGGAATTTGGGGTCATTAATTTCAAGAAGGTAATAAGGCTTAACAGTTCTTGAGTTGATATTATATCTGTACCATGAAGGTTTTCATTTCTTAATCTTTCTGTGGACCTTCTCACTATTCATATATATGAATGTAGTTTTTAGTAAAATGCAGTAGAGAGTATATTTCTATAACTCCATACCTCTCAGTTTGAGACAGTTCATGCATGAATCTTTACAGTGTGATAAAAGACATCTAGTATCTAGTATCTATATCACCCCCCACAATTGGCTATCCTCTGGATACATTT